GATTCCTTACCCTTACCAGAATTCAGATCATTCCTTAATTGCCAAGCTCTTCGAAAGATGAAAATGACTTGCTCATAAATCAGAGAGCTTAATTGATCCAGCAAGATAAGCAACCAATCTGGCCAGAAAAACTGAAAAGCTATTCCCTCGAAATATTCCAAATTTCTCTCAACTCCATGCGCAAAGCCCTTGTCTTAGGACAAATCACCAAAGCATGAAAAATACTTTCGTCTTCCACCCCACAGATAGAGCACATAACCGAGGTAGCCTATTGATCTAGACCACCATGCAATTAGACGCGACACAACAAGCATAAATTCTTATTTTCCGAGGGACATTAGCCTTCCATATGATATTCCACATTCACATCATTGCTAGATTGCCCATAATCTCTCTTATTCTCCTTAAGCTTCATCGCCAACTTATACACTTTTTATAGAGAACATATCGTTCTTCTTATAGTGCCACACAACAAAATCGTCGTCCCCCGACGATTGGATAACATATTTATAATCGCATCAACATCATGGGGAAGAAACAAATATGAGATTAAATTCACAACTCATCTCCTTGTCCCACTAACAAATAAATCAGACACCCACTTTGATCTTGGTTCTATTCTTTTTAGCCGATACTTTTAGGATAGAACTCTTGAGGATCCAATTATCTCTCCAAATATTTATATATGATCTATCTGTCACTCTCCAAATAACCCCCTTTAAAAGACGTTTTGGGCCATGCATAATACCCTGCCAAGTCGCTGAAGTTGACTACCGAAAGACCTTGTCAAGTAGATGCCCCTGAGGATAATATTTAGCCTTTATTAATTTTGCACAAAGCGAACCCAGTTTTACCAATAAATGTCAAGCCTGTTTTGACAAAAGAGCATCATCTTCCATATCTAAATAGCTAGCCCCCACTAACATATTTCTCTCAACATGCAAGCATGCCACCTCATCATTCAACATGCATAGAAAAAGTCCACCTCAACATGCAACTATGCATATTAAAAATCCACTTCAACATGCAAACATGCATGCATGTGAAATTCCATTTTATTATACTATTTAGATTTAATTTTATATACTTTAAAAAACTATCATTTCAAATATTGATGTTTCATATAACCAAAATCTCATTGAAATATTATAAAATATCCCCGCAACAACGTGTGGGGCACCATCTACTTAAATAACTAGTAATCCCGAAAACCTATACCTCCTTTGCATTGAGGTCTTGTTGGTTTATCCCAGGCCAACCAAATGAGTTTTCTTTCTATTTTATTCATCTCCCCACCATTTTTTGAATAATCTGAGACAATTACTCACAAATAGAAGCCAGAAATTTAAACCATAGCATAGACCGGAAGAGCCTGTATAACTGATTTGAATTGAATTTCCTTTCCACCAAGCATATTTTTCAATCCAGCCCTAAAGCCTTCTCAAACCTCTATCTTTGATTGATTGAAACTTTCCCGCCTTCATTCTTCCAATTGGCACTGATAAGCCCAAATATTTATCATCAAAACAATTAGTTGTAATTTTTAATATTGCCATAGTGGCCACTTGATTTTCGAGAGTGTATCTCTTCCAAAAAAAACATCACTTATCATAACTCAATAATTGTCTTGTTCCCTCCTCATAAATCCTCAGAATATTTTTAATTGTCCCATTAAACCTCATAAAGTTATAGACTGAATGAACACAAGTCATGATATTATTTCTGCATTTCTCGCCCATGCACTCATGCAGGTGGGCATCTCATGTCTCATGGTTTATCATGTATCATATGTATCAGAGTAAGGTACACATGTATACCTACTAATAAAGGGATTCATGCTTCTGCCCGTCCATCACACCTTTTACAGAAACCCCTTGTAGTTTATTAAAATCAACATGCAGTTCTTTTTAAGTGGGTATAGAAAAAGGTTTCATTTTTGCAGAAACACCCCTAATCTTTCGTTTAGTCAACCTGTGCTCCTGCTTTAAGTGAGTCCAAAAAACCTTTTGGATTTTGCATGAAACCCCGTGCTATTTTGTTTAATAAACCACAATCCATGGGCTGATTAAAATGCTTTTTAAAAATATCCATATCTTTTAAATCCTAACTTTAATTTTGACATGTTATATATGAAAATTGATTAGAAAAATGTGTAGAATCTGATATAATGTTGTTTTACCTGTTAAACATATTTAAGATGCTATTTGTGGTGCAATCTTAATCAATATCACATGACCTGTCTTTTTTGTACCGGTGTAGATCCGGATTGAAAATCAACACCTCATGAAAACCACATCGGAGACGACAAATGTCAGCAAGGAGGAAGGAGGATAAGCCATAACACATGTGAGATGCACCCGGACCTATTGGGGTCTTGACTCATGATTATTAGATTAGGGTTGTGTGATATCTTTTCTCTCCTGTTGCAATGAGCAGGTTCTTTTGCTAACGCCATATTGAAATAAAAGATGTGGACCTATTAGGGTCTTGAGTCATTGTTCTTAGATTACGGGAGTGTGGTATATTTTTTTCTCTCTTGTCATAACACATGGGTTCTTTTGCTAGTCATCATATCCATTCAAGTAGTTTCTGATCAGATGGACGGTCAATAGTATTAAGTTTTTTTTGGTGAGAAATGGTGAGAAAAAATATAATATATAGTATACTACATTTTTAGAGTAGTATACTACAGATCAGAAATGTGGCGGTGCATGAGAAGGGGAGCTCCTATTCCGCGTTGTACGTGCTATGAACCAGCGAGCGCGCACCCCCTCCCACCGTGCCCCTCTTGCGCCAGCCCATGTGCGGGGCGGCAAACACCTTATGTTTTGTTTTTGCATTTCTTTGTTTTAACTTTTTTCCTTTTTAAAAATAATATATAAAAAAGTTGCAAATTGTGAATGCCCATGAATTCAAAAATTGTTCATGATTATAAAAAAATCAGGAAATGATAAAAGCTCACGGATTAAAAATACATTCACCAAATTAAAAAACAGTTCTTGAATTCAAAAAATGTTCACAATTTCAAAATAATGAACTGTTTTTATTTCGATGAGCAATTTTTACGAGAACTTTCTAATAATGACAAACATTGTTTTGTATTTGATGATCATTTTTTGAACTTGATAAACAAAAATTGTATTCAAGATTTTTTCTAAAAAATGGATGTAATTTTTTTGAATTTGATGAAAATTTTCTGAAAATCTACGAATAAATTTGGAATTTGATGAACATTTTTTCAATTTGATGAACAAATTTTGAATTTTGATAAACATTGTTTAAATCCGATGAACAAAATTGGATTTGATGAAGATTTTTTAAATTGTTGAACATTTTTCTATTGATGAACATTTTTTGAATTCCACGAACAAAAAAGTATTTGTGAATTTAAAAAGAAAATTCGCATAAAGGTGAAAAAGTACATAAATTCAAAAAAAAGCTCACGTATTTGAAAAGTATTCGTGATTTCAAAAAATTGCATGAATTTGAAAAAATATTTTTGCAAAAATAAAATTAAACAAAAAAGAATAAAAAATTCATGAACTTAAAAGATTACCGCAAATTGAAAAAATAAGAATAAAAATGAAAAAACAAAGTGAAAGCAGGAACAAAAAGGAAAAACATAAAAAAGCAAAAGAAAAAAGAAACCATAAAAAACCGGTTCAAGAAAGGATCTAGAACCTTCCAAAACCGGTTGGGATGAATCCCGAAAATGAGTCGGCCCATAGAAATTCCAGCGCTGGAGGGGGGTGGGTACGGAGATCAACTAGTTAATGAGTTGTCCTTCTGGAGCCTCCCCAACAATCACATTGGGTGGGCTCAGAGCCACGTGTTGCGCTTTGGGCGCTCTTCCCAAATTTTTTAAATTTTATGTTTTGCACGTGTTTTTGGCTTTTTAGATAGGGGTTTTCTGAATAATTTTTTGACTTTTCGGTTTTTCACCGGTCTTCCTTAACTTTTTGACAAAAAAATTGATTTTTTCACGAAAAATGCGCTTTATTCGGGTATGGTTTTGCTTCCGCGAGAGGCACGGCGTCGTGCCTCCCGAAAATGAAAAAATGTATGTTTTCCTTTTTTTTCTTCTGTGAGAGGCACATTTTTGCTTGCGTGAGAGGCGCGGCCATGCCTCTTGGAAACGAGAAAACATGTTTTCTCCTCTTTTCTTTTGTGAGAGGCACCGTTTTGCTTTCACGAGAGGCACGGTTGTGCCTTTCAGAAATGAAAAAACACATTTTTCTTTTTTTCTTCATTGACAGGCATGGTTTTGCTTTCTCGAGAGGTACGGATTTGCTTCGTGAGATGCATGGTCGTGCCTTTTTGAAACGGCTTCCGGAAAGGAAAAAAAGCATGCTTCCGGTTCGGTTTTATCGTCCGTTTTTTGTGAATTTTTTTCGTCAAAACCTACCGACATTGTATTTAGTTTTGAAGATCTCGACGTGAGGAATCCAACGATGAAAATGGTTCGAGATTTAGACGCACACTTTAAGAGATAAAACGTTTTGAATAAACAGATCTATGAAAAAGGAAAACTCACATGTTACGGCAAGTGGCGCACATGCAGCGCGCCCTTGTCATAACTTGAGAAGGTGGGAGTGATTTTTGAAAGAAATACTCCTTAATTAGTGATTTCGGTTCCCTGGAAAAAAAATAGTGATTTCGGGGTACCCGCTATGTGGATAGGGAGCGACCTAGGCGCCATATAGGGATTGCCCATGAGAAGGCCTAGCCCATGAGAACTTCAGTACCTGATCTGGGCCACGCAGTTGAGCATAACAAGGCCCAAGGCGAGTCAGGTAGTTCGAGAGAACAAAAGACAAAATTCTTCTGATACGCCTCCGTCAGTCTCTCTCGTAGCCACGAACACAAGACTCTTGTCTCAAAAAAAAACGAACACAAGACTCGCCGCGAAGTGCAAGATTGCAGCTTCCACTGCTCGCCGCCAGCAGCGGGTTGGGGGGGTTAGCCAGGGTTCTGCACCCCTCGCACCGCCAGCGAAAGCCATGGAAGGGGAGGAGGAGATCGGCCTCGTCCTCGCCCGCGCCTCCGACCTTCGCTCCAGGATCTCCGCCTGCGCTGCCGCCGCACGGCCACCGCCGCGGCTGGGTGCCGGGGAGGAGGACGACGGCGGAGAGGAGGAGGAAGAGGAGGTGGAGGTGGAGAGCCTGGTAGGCATCAACGACGCGCTCGAGTCGCTCGAGCGGCAGCTCGCCTCCCTGCAGGTCCGGTTCCTATTCCTGGTTGGTCATTCCATAAAGATGGGTTTTTTATTGTTGCTCTGCTAGCCTGCTGTTGTGCCTATAGTTATTGTTTTGTGCCACGAGCTGGAGTTGATATGATCATATGGTAGGTTTGGGGTTCAATTACTGCATTTTTGTTCAACGTCTTACTGTATTTTCGTGAGGAACCAAATCTACGCTTGCTTAGCATGATGTTACAGACAGAGGAAAAGATTGATAGCCCTAATTAGTTGTTCATTGCCTGGTGGCTGCATCCAATTCCAGCCTCATTTGGCATTGGACTAGAGCAAAAAGGGGTAGTGTAAGATGGATTCTGTGATTCTCAGGAACAGGATTGCTGGTTAACTAATTGTGGGTAAGGTACAGATTGTATTAAAACGCATTTTGCGACAAGAAATAGGTAGAGATTACTGAGTGAACACAAATGAAAAATGTCAAATGTATGTTACACTGCGTGGTTTACAAAGAGAGATAATTTTCACTTTGCTTACTGTAGCTTATGGGAAGTATCAGTGGCCAGCACATCTGCGCATTCCTTGTAGCACAAGCTCGCATGCTTTTCTTCTGTTTTTTGTGAAAAAAACTGGTATTCCATCATATGGAAATTTGCCTATGCGTTTCTTCTTGCATGGAATATCAACTGTTAAGAACTGTATGGAATTTTCCTATGTTAGCACAAAAAGGAAGGTCATTCTGCTAAGAGACACAATCATCCATTGAGATGAAAATTTCTGCTTCGTGCTCACTAAACTGTAAAATGTTGCCGAGTTTCTGACCTTATTGTACAAAATGCTTAGTTTAAGATAATGACATAAACACATTTACGCACAATAACCCAAAGGGTACCAAACGTGCGAAGTACTTACATTACTACTGCTATATGTGAGCCCATTGGATGACACTTGCCTCAAGAAATTAGTACACCCTTGGATCCATATTAATTATCGTTGGTTTAGTACAACTTGTACTAAATCAGCAACAATTAATATGGATTGGAGGGAGTATTTTCTTTTGGACATCAGTAACTGTACCAGGCATATGGTGTTCTTAGCTTGATACTCCCTCCGTAAAGAAATATAAGAGCATCTAGATCACAAAAGTAGTGATCTAAACGCTCTTATATTTCCTTACGGAGGGAGTACCATTTTGTGCACAAAGCTTACTAACTCCGTCCCGGTTTATTGGGCCCCTAAGTATTTTGAGCCAGACTTTGACCATCTGTATGACAAATAAAATATAAAGTATATGCTACAAAAGGCACATTGTTGGATTTGTATTTGAAAGAGTTTTCCGATGATATAATTTTTGTAACATATAGTTTATATTTTATTAGTTAAATTCATAGGTTATATTAACCCAAAATAAGAGGGGGCCCAATAAACCCGGACGGAGGGAGTACATGTTTCTGTTTTGGAAAATAAGTAGCTTACCACCTTATTGCCACTGCCAGGACCTCCAACACCAACAAAGATATGAACGAGAAACTGTCCTGAGCCAGATTGATCGGAGTCGAACATCTCTCCTTAACAAGCTGAAAGAATACAAGGGAGAGGACTGTGAAGCAATCCATGAGGCTGCTGCATTTGCTGGTGAAAAAATCGAAAATGATGATGGTCTCATCCTACCTCCTTACTCGGGCCATGTCACCAATTCATTTGTGCTCGATGATCTCTATCCTGCAAACTACGTGTCCAAGCCCAAGTGCCTGCACAACGGACTGCGTTCTGATGGAATGACTGAAGATAGCACAAGGACGAACAGGACGCAAAACAGAATCCCTGGCACATCAAGCCGTAATTCATCAGGAGGGATCAGATCTTTGATCGGATGGATGGCTAAAACAGCGGTCATGATTGTGGGCGCCATATCAATCATGAAGGCTGCTGGCTACGAGCCCACAATAGGGAGGAGCGGCATAAAACTGGACATTGCAGGTCTGTTGGGTAAAGAGGCGGCTGGTGCAAAAGAGCAGGTTCCTCCTACTCTACAGTGCCCTCCTGGGAAGGTAATGGTGCTTGGAGGAGATGGCCGGGCGCACTGCGTTGTGAAGGAAAGAGTTGAGATCCCCTTTGGCAGCAGCCTTGATGCCCCAAATGCAAGCTACGGCTTAGGTTGAATCCGGAACCGGGCCGTGTGAATATTAGGCTCTGTTAGCTGGTCCTCTTGGTGTTGTGTAGGAACTGCGGCCGCGAGTTGTTTCTTGTATAATGCTCTCTACTTGGATATTTCCTACGTATTTCCCTCTTTAGCCCTGAATGTTGAGCGGCTTATGTATGATGCCGCTGTTAAACCACTTGTCGTTCATCGTCGTCATTATGGCGGATTCATTAGTGTTTATGTTGCCTAATTGATAGCAATATAACAATGATTCCGTTCATATGCAGGCGGACACACAACCTGTTGGGGCCCTAGGTTTTTTGCTCTGTCCATGTTGTCTCAATTGTTGAGCAGAGTCTGTTGCCGAGCAGTGAAGGCATTTCCTGTACTTTTATGCCCTGATGAATGAATAGCTTTACATGTAATCTGATTGAGAAGAGAGATGGGCTGTGATGCAGGCTTGCTGTGCAGCAGGAATCTGAACCCAGCGCATGCATACGGATACGGGGATGTTTCAATTCAAAGCAGGGAATGCAGTTTTGTTTGGTTGCTGTATGTATGTATTCCTGTTGCGGGTACTAATTGGCATAGGCTTGCCGTATGAATGAAGGAAGCAAAGAAACTGCGTGCGAGCTACTGTACTGTATGAAGCTGCGTGCATGCATTTTGCACGTGATCACCGTCTTGCCAGTGCGTGTTTTGGCTTTCTGCCATGCGTCTGAATGTAGTTCATGCTTCACTGCACTGTCTCTAGTTAAGTTATACAACTACATACCTGAAATCTCGATTTTCACTTGGAGTTGCCTTGTCCTTGGGATTACCAATTTCAGTTAAAAAGTGCAATCTACAAGTAGAAGAAATGAATAGGAGAGATGGCTGGCGAGTAGCAGGTGCAGAGTCTGTTGGCCGCGTCCTAGCTTGCGCGATCTGCACGGGTGATGGAGACGTTGACCTCCAAGCGTTCCAAAGACTTTACTCCTCTACTAGCGGTTGGGGCGCGCCACGGCGCGCCGCCTGATAGATAGTTGGACGGTGCCAGGTTGGATGCGCCCTTTCCACGTTGCTGAATGTACTTCACAGTGTTAAAAGGAAGTGGCTTAGGAGTCATATTATATTAATATGTCCTTATAGTTTACATGACCGACGACATAAACAACAGTGGTTCACAAGCAACACATGGGGCACAAAAGCGAAGGTGGAAAAACAATCAATCATCTCTCGTGAAAAGGAGGTTCTGCCCAAATGATTTTCTGTCAGTGAGTAAGCGACTCATCTCCCATCTTCCTCCAACTCGCTTATCCTGCAGAAATGGTGTGGCTCCAGAGAAGATGAAGAAATGGCGCCGGCGCCATGCCCGTCCGAGCATGTTCAGCTGAAATGTGGCAATGGCACAGGAAAGCAGCCGACGTTGACCTGATCTTCGCCATCCGGACCACCAGCTGCTCCCTCATCTCTTGCAGGAGCGCACCTCAGCTATCTTAGGTCCTGTTGTTCATTGACGCGGAGGAATGGCAGGCTTAGCCCCATGCTGGCCGCTTCTGTGGATGATGCGCCGTTGGTCGTTGCTTTTCATCCTGCTTGCACGTATTCGATAATGCAATGACAAACAAAATTCCCATAAATAGAGAGAAGTAATGAGAATTATCAAACTGAAACCACCAACAAGGGCACACCTGAGTCCGTTGGCACGGTCTCGCTCATCTTGGTGGTGTCCTCCTTTCGTCAGCTGCCGCCTTTCTTGCCAAGTCTGTCATAGAAGAAAGTAGTCTGAGAACCATTCCAATGCTACTCAAGAAGCATAACTAAAGTGCTAAACATGCCAAAAATTTTGCAGGTACAGCCAAACCAAAAACCAAAAAAAATTCAGCAGCTCGTACCACACCAAGTCCAGGAATACAACACAAAACAATAAACCTATGCACACTTTGAATTTTTTTATGAAGTACTGGATTTGAAGTATAAAACTTTATAAGCCACATCTGCACCGACCGCTCTCTGTAATTCCACACGAAACAAGACTAAGAATGAGAGTACAATATGTACTTCGGCTGATTTTTACAGCATGCAACCCCATTAGCCATGAAATCAAGGAATTGTGAAGCCTGTTTTGATGATGGAAAATATACACAAATATGAAAACAAGAGAGATTTATGAAAGAAAAGAAAGGAACCATCTTAAATGAAGAAACCTTAAGTTTTGCCCTCCCTGAACCCAACATGTACATATGAACAAACATGTGCGACCATACCCCCACTTCATCAATCCACGTGCTAACTGATACATGGTCATGCTAATTTCGCTTAGTTATTTGATGTCCATGTCTAATTGACTAAAGAAAGGACTCTACTCACAAGTCAAAATGTATATTTCATAATAGAGTTGTATACAACATATATGTATATTTATTTATTTATTTATTTATATTAGTGATATCTTTGAATTGCTTGAACTATTTACATATCTTTCAGATATTACAGCACGTTTTCTTCCCACAACCTCAAGCATATGAAAACTCACTTGAAGAACGAAGAATGTTAATACTTCCGAGAGGAGAAGACCTACATAAGTATTCTATGAAAATACATTGTGATGTTGTCCCCTGGAGGAGAGGTCTCCACATTTGAGCCTCAAACGTGCATGGCAATGTGAAATAGTTGAAAATTAACAAAATCAGGAAACGAAGAGAAATCTGGAAACAAGGGCATCCAATTTAGAATAGCCATCTATATGAGGCATGGGTAAGTTCAGTGCACTTGGCCTCGGTTGGTATAACCTCTTCTTCAACACAAGCATACAATTATCCTGCTGTAATAGCTACATGAAGCACAACTCTCCTGGCAAAACAAAGTAAAAATTTATGACCAACTGTAATGGAAAATATAAAAATGCAGATCTTGCCCTTCTGATCGCCCTGAAAAGGGGGGCGAGGAAGAAGATGATGCATTTGAAGGGTGAAATAGATGATATGTCAGTCACTGACCTGGTATGTGTCGCGGTATATCTCTATGGTTGCGGTGTGCGCGAGCATGTTGTTGTGCAGGCTTGTTGTCAACAGAAGAACCTAAGGAAAACTGGTTGTAGATCTCTCCTATGTCATCTGCCCCCTTCGGCAAAAAATTGTTAGGCAGTAGGCAATAATATAACATGATAGAAGATGATGCTAAAAAGGCATGCCACGATGTATGTATCAAATATAGAGGGATTGCCCACTAACAGAATTAAATTGATTCTGCAACAGTTTATTTGTAAACGAAATAAAGCATGCTATCCTATCTCCATGGATAAATGGAGAACTATCGAATGCACCATGTCTTTTAGCGACAAAACTAACCTGAGTAGGATGTACCTGAGGCTCCTTATTAGTGGAGGATTCTTCACCCGGGGAAAGCTGGTTACATTTTTTATTCGATATATCCATTGTTCCTCGCTGTAACAGAAGATCAAAGTGGAAAACAAAATATGTCAGGCACTCAATTTAAAACGGCTTATTTTCTCACATGCTTATACTGAAATCTAGATAGAGCACAAATCCAACATGCATGTGGTAGCACGTATCTAAAAGTATCAAGAAAGCAACTTCGTTGGCCTACATGGCTACATATGCTCAAGTGTTGTTCTTTTCAAAGTATGCTAACCCACTATTTTGTCAGTTCAGGTGATCTATTGCAGTAACCAAGGAAGTAAATGCAAATAAAAGTTTTAGGCCTTAATATGCACATCATTTCTTAAGATCTGGTCATTGCAAATACTTCAGAAAATATATACAGTATATTTATGTTGTGCAAATCTAGTGAGAAAATTCTACATTTTGATGCAAGGGATAAATAACACCGGTACTATAGGTACAGCTCCTCGGCTTATTTACAACTGATGGTCAAAGTCAAGGATACAATGATATCTCAAAAAATCAGCATATGACTATGCCAACGTCATACATGTCCACACACAACTTCTGGGCGCCTCCACGTGAGCATGCTTCCCTCAATAAAAAAATATGATCATGTTGTTCAGTCAAAGAGCAGTACCTCCTCGAATGCCTTGAGAGCTGATTGGATGTCCATTAGCTGCTCCACGTTTTGTTGTATTGCCTTGTTAAATTTGCTCTTGCTCCGAGGGAACTGTATGACCAACACAGTTAAATTGATTCAGAAAAGAAGAGAGTTAAATCAGGAGTGAATTTCCAAGAAAATGGCTCTATTATTCAAGAGCATAAGCACAGCCAAAAAGATATACATGGATATTGGATACTTTGCACCAAAAAAATTTCAAGTATAGAGAATACAGTATAGAAGTATATACATAAGTTGTTGTTATAGTTCCTAAAACTGCAAGGATGACTGAAATCCTTGAAATAATTGTTTTTTCTTATTTACCCAAGGGATACTAATCCATATGGGTTTTTTCTGGCGAGAAATCTTTGTGGTTCACTTATGAAAGTGAACAGAACAACTTATGTTTTTATAGGCTAACACTATAGACAATTTCATCGCAGAGGCTAAACTTGACTAAATATAAATCATAGGAGAAGATAAAAACATACTGGAATAAGTTGTTTCATGGAAGGTTTTCCAGTAAAAACATGAGACACACGTCACTTCCTCGGCTGTTGTTGCATCAACAAGCTAACAAAGTCTCAAAATTACACATAGAGATGTACGTGTGCAGCGTGCTAACCTCAAAAAACAAATATAAATGGAAGTTGCCATACCTTTGGTACACCGTGTGCAGCATGCTAGAGCCTCATTTTGAACAATTTTCAGACAAACTCTCACTCTGAACAATCATATGCTGCTGCAGAGACAGGGGAAGTTTCCGACGACTCATTGGGTCTTTATCTCGAACAAGTCTTGGAAAATAACACATGCATGTCCTACTATTATTCCTTCCTAGAAAAAGTTCGGAAAACAGGCAGGAACTATAAATGATTGACAAAATTTGCAGTCACAATTTTCTAGCTACAATAGGCAGAAACTATGCATACAAACATCACTTTGATACCTTTTAACTACGCGAATTGTACATTTGATTTCAGAAATTCTCAACACGGACAAGACTAAAAGAACTATGGAGTATATATGGGTAACCAAACCAAACTAAACCTGTGAATGTGATTATTTGAATAAGCCGAATGAACATACTCAAAAATCAATCTAATTAATTGATCAATAAGTGAATCAAAGGGCAATTCTAACCAACCGAAACAACTGAATTAGGGGGGCTCACTGAACAGCTGGCTTGGAGGAATCTCATTAAACACATAACATGCAGAAAACAATTGTGTGAGGGGATTTGATGCATAATTTCATTTGAACACAACTTTCAAGCAGAATCATGATAGATCACAACATGAGTGGATCTTCTCCCTACTTACAACCTCTAAAATTGATTTCAGTGTGTCTACGGAACTTATTCTTTACCTTGATCAGTGGAAACATGAGCATGCACTCTTTTACTTGGATAAATGAATCAGATCAGATCATATCGACATAATTAGCTATTTAGCTTAATAAGGAATTGTAATAATTAAATTTAGAGCGAGTAAAACAAAGCAAATATTATCTGAATCCAATGTGCCATGAATAATAAGGAAATCTATTGCATTTTAACTATCCTTTCATGTTATTCAAAAGCTTAACAGGCGGAAGGAGATAAATTTTTCTAAGAAATGTGCATGACCTAAGAAACTAATATATGTATGTAAACATGTAGAAACATAACAGAAGTACTCTTTCCATGAGTGGCAATGCTTCTCTTCACACATATATCGTTAAAAGAAGTAACTAATATATGTACTATGTAAATATGAACAGCTTGCTCAAAAACTTTCCACGAGTCGGATTATATGTGTGAAGAGAAGCAATGTCACTGATGGAAAATTTTGTGAGCAAGCTATTCTTTGTTTAATCTTTTGCAAGATTGTTGTTTCCTTCTCTTTTTCACTTTCTAGGAGTACCTTTTCCATCTTCTTTGTTAGCACTGCAGATTCCTGCACAAGAAGCAGAGTGTCGGCTTTCCAAGGCCACGAACAGACAAAATTTCAGAGGCCATGGTCGCTGGCTGTCCATTGTAGCAGGAACAAAAAATCCACCAAAGAAGAAGCTGAGGAAGAACTCACATCGAACAAAATGCACTGAAGCAAATGGCACTTGGTAGCATCTTGCCCCTCGAGGCCTCACCGGAGAGGACTGATGGAGGCCGCCCTCTCTCCTCCTCAGGCCTACCCGGGATTGACCCCAACCCCGGCGAGATGCTTCCTGGAGCGGACGGGGGATGACCAGCGCGACCGCACAACCCCGCAACTTGGCCCTCGGGCACCTGGCGGCGGGCAGGTGCGCGACGGGGCACCAGAGGTGATGGCTGGACATGCCGGCTCCCATCCAGCGGGTCATCGACCCACCGAGCTCCGGCGGGAGAAGGTCGTCCGAGGCCAGCTGGAGAAGGGGCGCTGGAGGTTGGCCTCGCGGGATCCATCGCTGGCGGCTCGTCCCTCATCGGTACCTACGACGATAATGTCCGTCGAGGCAGAAACGGCGCGGACCAAAACAATAGCCATGCCGGAAGAGGAGGCGAGCCATTGCGCTAGCGCCATGGACTGTCCGAGCCGGGCCTCCTCCCTCGCTGCAATCCAATCATCCCCGCCCTTCTCTGACCGACGGCATCTAAGAGGACGCACATCCGCCACTCCTCTCCGACTGCTCCGGCCGACCCGGCCCTGGGCTGATGACGAGCAAGATCTGTCAGGCCTGGGCGTCTCAATGGAAGCAGAACCATCCGCGGGGGACGGGAGGAAGTCGTCCGGGTTGGGCTCCTCTTCTCACGGCTTCGACGAGACGAGGGATCCACCTTGCGTGGCTACATATCAAGGATGTCCTCATCCTCTTCGCCGGTGGTGATTGCGATCAATTTGAGCATCTTCCACACCCGCCGACCCGCGGTGCGGGCGGATTTCTGGGGCGAGGCCGACGTCGGCGTGTGGGATGTGGCGGCGCGGGGTGGTGGAGCAGAGGCGAGAGCGCTGGAGACGAGGAGGTTGCGTGCGAGGAGGGAGAAAGGGGAACGCGTGCTAGCGCCAGGGAGGGTGCATCTGGGGGAGATATTTCCTTAGGAGAGAGAGCTACCCAATCCAGTAACATAAAAAACGATGAGATGGAACACGCAAGGAGGTGCCCTTGATACACACCTTATTGTTTTGGATTCGTCTACTAGTGCTACTAGTAGAGTGCCCGTGCGTTGCCACGGGCTCTTAAAATAGTTTGTAAGAGTTACATGTTAACTTTTCAAGGGCTCGCCCCGTCGTAGATCCAGACCACCGCCATTGATTCCATCCCGCCTAGGCCGCCGCCTGCCGCCGCGCTGCCCCATCGCGTTCGCCTCCGCTCCGGCCGCCTCCGCCCCGCCCCGACCCCGCCCGCCTCCTCTTCGTCCGCCTCCGCCTCCGGTCCATCCTCCGCCCGGCCCCGCTCCGTCCGCCTCCTCTCCGGTCTGTCCGCCGCCCGCTCCGTCCGCCTCCGCCCGCTCCCCGCTCGGCCGCCGCCCGCTCCCCGATGGCGCCGAAGAAGACGCCGAAGGGCAAGTCCGGTTTCTTCGGCATGAGGGCGAAGCCCTCCGGGAACTTCGGACTGGAGTTCTCCGACGCCGGGCATCGTCGGTGGCTCGGCACGTACCCCACCGCCAATGAGGCCGCGCGTGCCTACGGCGTGGCGGTGTGGCGTGCCGAACGGCCGAAGACGGACCTAAACTTCCCGGAGGTCGAGTCCCAGGCGGTGGCGGAGTGGCTCGTGCCGCAGGGCATCCGGGTGGAGGAGATGTCGGCTAAGAAGAGACCGGCGGTTGTTGTTGCTCCCGGCGAGAGCGACGAGGCGGCGATGGCTTGATTTGCGCGATTTGCAATTTGCTGCAAAGTCATCTCTAATGAAATGCTATTTGCTGCAAATTTAGAGGTAACACATACCAGAAGTCCAACCACAACCACAACCAGAGATAACATATCGTGGCAAGCGGATATCAAAAGAACATGATCCACAGTCAGAGGCTCGGGATAGACCAAATGCAGCGACCGTTAACAAATCCAAATTCAGTGTTTACAACAACCACTTATATATATTTGGACGTACATAGAAATTAGATATTTCCTAATTATTTGCATAACGAAAAACATACCGGCTACAAGAGAATGAAAGACTAACCTATTGATGAGCACAACAGTACATACCATCCCATCATGATGTTGCCATCTCTCACACTTGATGATTACATCTTGTTATTTCTAACATGTACACCATCGGACGATTGCTTTATTAAAAATATATTTACACAATATGATCAGAGCAACATCAAGGAGTCGGATGCTGGTGCACAGATTCTCCTCAAATTCCACACGCAACCATTGTAGAGAAGAACGACATATTTTTCTTAGGTTATTTTTGATCGAGCTCCTACAGAAAAATTCAAAGAAATCATGAGGAGCATGGAGCCAAGCAAACTAATCAGAGTAAATCATGAGAGGAGAAGCCTCTCAACCTACTACGGGGAATCGAGTCAACATTAATTCGTGTAAGAATTAAACCGTAATGTAGATCAACAACCGAGTAGTTAATAGAATAACCCTGACATTAGGAGTAGAGATACACCCAAATAGCTATATAATTTTCCTGATTTCCATACTATTTAGATTTTGAATGCGAATAAAGGAATTGCTTACAGTACAAAATATATGTGCAGACGTGCTTTATGGAGCAAACAGTCTAGGTGGTCGCTAGCTAGAGATTATCCCATGCCAATAATTCATCAGTGTGTGACATGACCGTGCGTTACCACGGGCCTTCTGTTGTATAAAACTTAGTGAATTTTTGGCCCATTTCAACAACATAGCCTGAACACCCTTGTCGATGAATTCTTTTTGAATATCGTAATCCATCTTCATCTCTTTGATACTCTGCAAAAACAAATATATATAGAAACACACCTTTTGTATTATCATGCACAACAAATATATAAAGAATAATTATGTGTATGCATCTCTTCTGATTGTTAAAACAAGACAATTTTTCAGTCCGGTCCTTCATAAAGCTTTGTCAATCGGCATTTTCAAAGCATCATTGGAAGCCATTAGTTTTCATCTCTGATCTCAAAAGTGGACATATATAAACAATATTAAAATAAAAATAAGGTCATATTTTTTTGAGGGGATAAATAAGCTCACATATAATATATATTCATTGGTGAGACGCTAAATGCGAGCATATTCATATTCCGATGATAATGAGACATACTTCTTCACCCACTATCTCCACCTTTCTAATTCTCGAGTTCCCTTCCACCATCACGTCCACACATAATCATACGCTTTTATATTTTGAAATTTGCTTGTCTTAACCTGGTGTAAATTCTAGAAGTCTATCCCCCCCCCACCCCCCTCTATATATAGTTTTTTAAATGTAGAGAAGTTGCCACTTGTCTCTCTCAATGCCTTGCTGAACCCTCTGCTTATGGCTGCCATCACAAGAAAAATAAGCAAGATAGTGGTCGTAGGTGGTAATCATCTAAATTAGCCAGCCATAGTGTATATAAGATGCCGTGCACA